TCTTAATGTTGTACAAAAATAATTGAAAAAAAATAAATAAATACAAAAAACTAAACATTTTGTTTTTCTTTTTCATATAATTATTTAAATGCTAAAATATATTTTTAAATAAAAAAATAAAAGTACATAATTTTTATTTACCTTATATTTTTATTTACAGTTTTTGTTTTCTACATGGATTTTTTTTTTTTTTTAAAGTAGAGCGAAAACAGTAAGATTTATATTTATGTATCATTTATTCATTCAATAATTTCCCTTATTTATCAGGAGTCGCCACAGCGGAATGAACCACCAACTATTCCAGCATATATTTTACACAGAGGATGCCCTACCAGTTGCAACCCAGTACTGGGAAACACCCATACGCACTCATTCACACACATGCACTATGGACAATTTTAGCCTATTCAATTCCCCTATAGCGCATGTGTTTGGACTGTGGGGGAAACCGGAGCACCCGGAGGAAACCCACACCAACACGGGGAGAACATGCAAACTCCACACAGAAACACCAACTGACCCAGCCAAGACTCAAACCAGCGACCTTCTTGCTGTTCTGCAGTGTGTGTGTGTAAACAGTAAATCAAAGTTCAAGCAAATCTGCTGTTAGATGTGTGTAAATCCTGTTTTTTGTGCTGTGTGAGCGAAGCCTCGTGTGTGTGTGTGTGTGTGTGTGTGTGTGTGTGTGTGTGTTTTTCTCCCAGCGTGTTCGAGTGGTTGTTTCCTGTTTCTCCACTTCCTGCTGCCCACTTCCCGTTCTGAGTTCTGCCACTGGCCTGCTACACACACACACAAACATACAAACAAACACACATGCAGCCGTTCATCAGCCAAGCAGCACACAAATACACACATACAGTACACAGCAGTATTTCTGGAAGAGTGTGTGTGTGAGAGAGTGTGTGTGTGGGTCATCAGCACCCTCTGCTGGTTGAAGCAGAGCAGGAAACACCGAGCCCAGTGAAGCAAGTGTGTGTGTGAGAGCATTGTGTATGTGTGTGTGTGTGTGTTTGTGGGCGGAGTAAGGGGCACTGGTTTCTGAGTGTATGGGTTTTGTGTGTGTGTGTGTGTGTGTGTGTGTGTGTGTGTTCAGCGTGTGTGTTTATAATGTGTGTTTACAGTGTGTGTGTGTGTGTGTTCAGTGTGAGTGTACTTAGTGATGTTTGCATTCGGTGTGTGTGTGTATTCAGTGTGTGCATTTAGCAGTGTGTGTGTGTGTGTGTGTGTGTGTTTGTGCGCGCACATTGCATGTGTTTAGTGTGCATGTGTGTGTGATCAGCACCTTTGTTACGCATGTGTGTTCAGTGTGTATGTGCTTTCAGGTGTGTGTGTGTGTGTGTGTGTGTGTGTGTGTGTGTGCGCATTTAGCCTGTGTTCAGCATGTGTGTGTGTGTGTGTGTGTGTGTGTGTTCAGGTGAGTTTGTATGTGTGTACATGTGTTAAGAGTGTGTGTTCTGTGTATGTGTGTTTTGTGTCTGGCATGTTCACTGTGTGTGTGTTTGTGTGTGTTTCATTATGTGTGTGTGTGTGTGTGTGTGTGTGTGTGTGTTTAACATATGTTCAGTGTGTATGTGTGTGTGTGCTCAGTGTGTGTTTAGGATGTGTTCAGCATGTGTGTGTGTGTGTTCAGTGTGTGTTCAGCATGTGTGTGTGTGTTCAGCATGTGTGTGTGTGTGTGTGTGTGTTCAGTGTGTGTTCAGCATGTGTGTGTGTGTTCAGCATGTGTGTGTGTGTGTGTGTGTGTATGTTCAGTGTGTGCTCAGCATGTGTGTGTGTGTGTGTTCAGTGTGTGTTCAGCATGTGTGTGTGTGTGTGTGTGTTCAGTGTGTGTTCAGTGTGTGTTCAGCATGTGTGTGTGTGTGTGTGTGTGTTCAGCCTGTATGTATAATATGTGTTCAGTGTGTATGTTTAACATATGTGTGTGTGTCCAGTGTGTGTGTTTAGCATATATGTGTTTACCATGTGTGTTCAGTGTGTTTGTTCAGCATGTGTGTGTGTGTGTGTTCAGTGTGTATGTTTAACATATGTTCTGTGTGTGTGTGTGTGTGTGTGTGTGTGTGTTCAGTTTGAGTGTGCTTTCAACAAGTGTGCGTTTAGCATGTGTTTAGTGTGTGTGTGTGTGTGTGTGTGTGTGTGTTAAGTGAGTGTGTTCAGGTGTGCGTGTACATATGGATATATATGTGTGTGTGTGTTCAGCATGTGTGTGTGTGTTTAGTAACGCTGCTCCTCCCCCGCTCAGGTGTGCTGATCCTCTCCATCTGTCTGCTGTGTCGGGCGTACAGCACACTGCGGGCGGCGCGACACACACACCAGCACATGCTGAATTCTGTCCTGAGGGCTCCGCAGGCCTTCTTCGAGGCCACCCCCTCGGGACGCGTCCTCAACCGCTTCAGCAAGGACGTGGACACTATAGACTCGCTCATTCCAGACAATATCGATATCTGGATGCGCACTTTCTGGTACACAGTGAATGTGCTGATGGTTTGCTCTGTCCTCACCCCAATCTTCCTCATAGTCATAGTGCCGTTAATGCTGTTCTATTGGTGGGTCCAGGTAAATAGCAACACGTCTGCTAACTCATTAATACAGCATGCTAACATGTGTGCTTGTTGTTGTTGTTGTTGTTTTAGCATTAGCACTGTCTTAGTGTTGTAGTTCACAGCGTGTGGTTTGGTCACTGGTTGTAGTCCATGCTGTTCTTTACCTGCGACGCAACTCACTGGAGTATTCACTGTTCAGAGTTTATCCAGAGCAGTGGAAATCATTACCACAGATATACATGCAGTATAATCAGCTCAATAGCATATATTAAAGGGTTATTATTGCATTTACCTTTAATTTCATTATTATTCATTTATTATTATTGTGTGAATATATTTGTAAAGTTTAGTTGTACTGAATTGCATTTACAGTTATTACAATAATAATAATAATAATAATAATAATAATAATAATAATAATAACAATACAATATAATAGTTATTATTAATAATAGTAATAAAAATAATACTTATTATTATTATTATTGTTAACAACCTCCTGCAGGGTTTATTAATAGTAATAATAACAACAGTAATAATAATCCTTACTGTTTAATACTGTTTAATAAAATGTTATAAAGTTATGATTATATAATGTAAAAACTGCGTAAATAAATTAATTGTATTATTTTATTATAATAATAAAAAAAATAATAAGAATAGTAAATAATAATAAGAATAATAATTTTTATTTTTTTTATTGTTATTATTATAACCTCTGGCAGAAGTTATTTATTTATTTACTTTCCTTTGGCTCAGTTCCTATTATTTATTTATTTACAATTGTAATAATAATAATAATAGTAATTATTATTATTGTTTAATAAAATGCTATAAAATTTATGATTATACCATGTAAAAACTGCATAAATAAGTGAATAAAATTATTATTATTATTATTATTATTATTATTAATACTTCCTGCGTGATTTTTTTCATTTGTTTATTTATTTACTTTCCTTTGGCTTAGTCTTATTATTTATTTATTTACTTATTTATTTATTTATTTATTTATAATAGTATTAATAGCAACAACAACAATAATTATTATTATTTAAAAACATATTTTAAAAGTTATGATTATATAGTGTAAAAACTGCATAAATAATAATAATAATAGTAATAATAATAATAATAATAATTATATTTATTATTATCTCCTGCGGGATTTATTTATTTATATAAATTTTTTTAGCTTAGTCCCTAATTAATAATTAATTAATTAATTTATGTTTAATAGTAATAATAATAATAAGAATAAGAGTTTTTACTATTAATATTATTATTATTACTATTAATATTTAAGAAAATTATCTAAAAGTTATATCATGTAAAAACTGCATAAGTAAATAAATAAATATTCTTTTTATTATCGATATCATTATTAATATTTTTATTTTTATTGTCATTATTATAACCTTCAGCAGGATTTATATAATATTTTTCTTTGCTTTGGCTTAGTCCCTAATTATTTATTTATTTGTTTATTTATTTAATTATTTTTATTTATTTAATAACATTTAATTAATTAATTAATGTTTAATAGTAATAATAATCATAATTATTATTATTAATTATTTATTTATTTAAAATAATAACAACACCATTTTTTTTATTAGTCCCTAATCTAAAAACTGCATAAATAGAAAAATTATTATTATTATTATTATTATTATTGTTATTATCATCATCATCACTATTTAATAAAATGTTATAAAAGCTATGATTATATAGTGTAAAAACTGCATAAATAAAAAAATAAAAAATAAAAAAATAAAAAAATAAAAAATTCATTAATATTATTGCAATGTTGCATAGTTAATTCTATAAAACATTTCATTATCAATAATGTTATTACAGAACACATGAATTGTGTAGTGCATTGGCATGCAGTGGATGCTGTAATGCTGGCGGGTAAAGAACAGTGTTCACTGTAGAGTTACTGTATTACGGGAGTGTAAGTGCACTCATCAGTCTGTCTAATACTGAACATTACAGGAGTGTGTGCTGTGCTGAATCTCATTATATCCTCATTAAATCTCCATTCATCCTACACAAGCATCCATAACCTCTTCAACACTAACAGTGTAGAGTTACTAACACTAGTGCACTGAACAGACACTCACTCTAGTGCACTAAGGAATTTGGGAATAATCAAGGAACTAAAACTAGTATTACGAACTGTGTACTTGCTACTTGAGACTAAATTATTCGCCCTCCTCTACAGCTATTAATAATTGTTTTAATATTATGATCTTAAACTGAGCAATGACATTTTTCACAGTGTTTCCCTATTAAATATAGTATTTTTCTTCTGGAGAAAGTTTTTAATTCTTTTAGTTTGGCTGGAATTAAATGAATTAATTAAAATATAAAACTGCTGTGGTTAAAATGATTAGCCCCCCTAAGAAAATGTACTAATTACACATATACTAAATAATAGTATTTTTAATTGGCTACAGAACAAACCACTGTTGTCCAGTGAAACAAGTAACATAGATAAGCCTTAACATTCAACTTTACACTTTAATCTTGCAAAATATTTAGAAAAATATCATGAGTAATAATAAATAAGCTACTATAACTAATATATTTACAAATGAATATATTTAATTAATAAAACAATAATAATAATCTTTAAATTATTTATATTGTTATTAATATTACTATTAAAATGGGTCCAAAAATATGAAAAGATGATTAATTATAATGTAAAACATTATAGTAATATTGCATACAGATAATCTGATCTCAAGTCATTGTTCTCTTCTTTCTCAAGCAACTTTATTTGTAAAATAATTCATTATAAAGGAGGGCGAATAGTTTTGTCTTCAACTGTGGGTTTTTAAGATGTAGTGACAAATCAGATTAAAGGAAAACAGCATTACGGTGTTAAATAGACTAGTTACACTGCAAAACAGGCTTTTATTAGTTAGAGCTCTGTTTAAATGATCCTGGCGCAATGACTAAAGCATTAAAAGCGTGTCTCAATCCACTTTTGCTAGTTTAATGAGAGGAAGAACGTGTTCTGCACTGTGGTGCATGGTCTAACAGGGCTGTGCTTATTCTCTTCATGAGTTCTGGGTGTGTGTTGAGCATAACCTGCATTAAAGTCTCATCTCGCTTTCCTTTTAAGAGTCAGTTGTGGCGCATTTGCTATGTACATGTAAAAACTGAACGCTTCACTAGCGAGAACACAGTTAAACAGAGCATCTGCAGCACGAGGATAAAGAACGAGCCTCCTCCATTCAGCCTCTTTACTTTACTCCTTTACTTAGGTGGAGTGAGGAAACGGTGGAAACTCTCTCCACTGAACACATCCACCAGCCCACATGTTTAATTTCCTGTTAAGCACAAAGATTTGCTTCAAAACTATTTCTAAATTCAGTTCTAATGTCCAGCAGAGGAATAAATGAGCAACAATAATGAAGTGTGCTCAGAAGTTATATCCAAACACACGTCCTGTTCTTATCCACATATGCTGATGAAGACGTCTCCAAAACCCCACAGCTGGACACATCTACACTTGTGTTAAAAGGAAAATCATCGTTTCTGGATAATTTTAATCCTTTAGTTGTTCATCACATGTGTGTGTTGCTGATCATCCTGTGTGTATTCAGCAGTGTGTGAGTGTTTGGACCTGCATATGCATAACTAACACGCTCTGCTGGACTTTAGAGCAGCTGTTAGTTGGTCAATGGTGCTGTTGGTCTATTTCAGCTCCTCAGAATAGCAACGCTCCAACAATCTAACACACCTCCTCTATAGACCAGCACACACATGAGTCCACAACGCGGCGCAAAAGGATTTGCTATTGAAACAACGTGACGCAAAACATGAACATTACAGCAGCACTGGTCTGAAAACAGCAACAAATCACGCCAAACACATCCCGCGGCTTATTGCACTAGGTGTATGATAGGACCCATAAAGTTTCTGTCTTGTTTCTAGTCCAAATATCAAAAATTATTTTAATCAAGAAGCATTTTCTGTCTTGTTTTCAGAAATAATGAGTCAAAAACAAGCAGGCTTTACTGTAAAACAAGCAAAAATATCTGCTAATAGGCTAAACAAAGCACATAATCTTAAAGCAAAAACATGTTTATTTTGCTTCCCCCATTGGGAGATTATTTTGCTTATTTTTAGGAAAAACTCACTTCATTTTGACTCAATATTTCTAAAAAAAAGAGTTTTGTGATATTTGGACTCGAAACAAGACAAAAACTCAAGACAAAACGCACGTTTGTTTTAGTCTTTTATGTTTTGCAGTGTATTGGTGATGATTTGGGTGTGTGTGTGTGTGTGTGTGTGTGTGTGTGTGTGTGTGTGTGTGTGTGTGTGTGTGTGTGTGTGTGTGTGCGTGTTTAGGTGTGTTCTGGAGATGATTGTCGTTTATATTCAGTGTGTGATTTTACAGAAGTGTTTTAGGAACTAACCTCCAGTCTCTCAAACACAATCTCTCCCGATCCTCTCTTGATTTTTCACTCTTCATCATGGGACTGCTGAGGCTTTGCATGGCACAAACTCGCTTTCTGAAATGCTCTGTATTTTTATCGCGTGACTATTCATTGCATGCATAAAATGATCCAAGTGTTCACTGCAAAAACTGCTTTTCTGGTCTTGTTTAGTCCAAACATCTAAGAACTTTTAAATCAAGAAGCTTTTTTAGACAAGCACAAAATCGAGTGCTGTTTTCAGAAATAAAGAGTCAAAATGAAGAGAAGTTAAATAATCTGCCAATGAGGGAAGTGAAATAACAGTATGTCAAAAATGAAAAGCAAAGCTTCTTGATTGAAGAATTTGGAGATATTTGGACAAGAATCAAGATTAAACTTCAGTCGGACAGCCTTTTTTGCAGTGCTGTTGATCTGCATAAATGCTGGAGTTATTGAAAAGCCAAACCTGACACTACAACATTACGAGAGTGTTTATTCATTCATATTTGATCCCTCAATGTGAATGTTGATGTTCAATATGTTCAGAGTAATTGGCATCATGTGTTATGAAATATTGTCTGCTGATATAACAGTGAGGATTCTGAAAAAATACACTGAAAGGCCGTGAAACTGAATTAAGGAATAAATACAACATATATAGTTAAAGTCAGAATTATTCGTCCCTTTTGAATTTTTTTTTTATATATATATTTCCCAACTGATGTTGAACAGATTCAGGAAATGTTCACAGTATGTCTGATAATATTTTTTCTTCTGGAAAAAGTCTTATTCGTTTTATTTCGGCTAGAATAAAAGCAGTTCTTAAATTTTTTAAACACTATTTTAAGCTTAATATTATAAGCCCCGTTAAGCTATATATATTTTTCGATAGTCTACAGAACAAACCATCGTTATACAATAACTTGCCTAATTACCCTAACCTGCCTAGTTACCCTAATTACCCTAGTGAAGCCTTTAAATGTCACTTTAAGCTGTATAGAAGTGTCTTAAAGAATATCTAGTCTAATATTATTTACTGTCATCATGACAAAGAGAAAATAAATCAGTTATTAGAGATGAGTTATTAAAACTATTATGATTAGAAATGTGCTGAAGAAATCTGCTCTCCGCTAAACAAAAATTGGAGGAAAAAATAAACAGGGGGCGAATAATTTTGACCTCAACTGTATTTGCGGTGGTAAATTAGCATTATGGGATGTTGATCTCTGCTCTTTCCACTTCTGATGTTGAAGATTTAACTCTACAGTTTAAGAAAGTGACTTTTAATGACATTTTAGTCATTTGAAATAATAATATAATGTGTAATAAATAATATATAAAGAAAAAAAGTCTGTAAAATAGCAGAAAATGTGCTGCAGTTTATTACAAGGTTTCTGTAGCGTAATGTACCAACATCAGCCCTGACAATACAGCACTGAAAACTAATGTAAATGACAATAAAAGTCACTTTTTACAACTTCAGATCAAGATCCTATAATGCAACTTAAAAGAGAAATAAATGGAGAAAATTATTTATAAAGGAAGAAACTAGACAGGCTGCAGAAATTATAATAAAATTATAATAATATAAAAATAAATAATATAAAAAATAAAAATCAGCTTTAGTTCACAGCATTAAATTACAATTGATTTGAACAGAAAACATTTGTTTTTAACTGTAATAATATATTATTAAAATGTTTGCTGAAATAAATGCAGCCTAAATGCAGGCGAGAATAAGAAATCTGGGTCCCACTTTATATTAAGTGATGATATTGTAATGATATTTTCTAAATGATCTGCTGGTAATTACATCTGTAATTTCATTTCTGTAATTACATTTATAGTTACACTATTGACCCATCTCTTACCCTAACCCAACTTCAAACCTACCCAAGCCCCCACACCCATCCCTAACCTTACCCATATCCAACTTCAGGAGCAGCAGAAGGGTTGTGGAACTCTACTATATGAACACAGCGAGTAGATTGTACTTATTTTTTGATTCAAGTACATAGTAATTAAGGTATCTTCATATAAAGTGGGATCTAAATTATTATTATTTTTTATAAACATTAGAAACAGACCTTAGGGCATATATCATGCATTGAACAGCAGACCCAAAATGATTATTAGCAATAATAATATATGACATTTGTCTTTTAGCCATTTTGTCTTGTTCAAAATAGTCGTTTAATTCTTTGTAACCTCATCAAACATTCCAACAGTTCAAACAGATATTTAATCTAAAGCCAATGTGTCTTACTTTAAAGCATTCTAAAACTGTCACAATTGAAAATAATTGGTAATAAAGAGTAAGACAATCGAATGCAAACATCAGTGTTTTCTGAATCCTCGCTCATTTGCATATGTTTGTATATTCATGAACTAGATTACGCTTTATTTTAAGGTGTTCTTAATTCAGTCTAATATTAATTAACTGCATGCAATTATGTTAGAATTGTTAGAATGCAGGTTAGTTGCATGTGTTTAATTATAATTACTATAGTAAGTAAGTGCAATATTCACTTCAGTTTAATTTTATGCATAATAAATTTTAATTACTATACTATATTCACTATATTTCAACCTATTTTTGAGTCAAATATGCACAGAATCAACTGCTGGGGTAATGTCTCAAGTGCAGATTGAATCCAACGCTTGTGTTTGTCCATGTTTTACTCAGTTTGGCTCTATTTAAGCATGCATTTTTGAAAGAGACGCCTTAAAATAAAGTGTGTGTGTGTGTGTGTGTGTGTGTGTGTGTGTGTGTGCTGTGGTCTGATGTTGTAAAATGGCAGGATGTTTGTTTTTCTCCTGCTTCAGAGGTTTTATGTAGCCACATCTCGTCAGTTGAAGAGACTGGAGTCTGTCAGTCGCTCTCCAATATACTCTCATTTCTCTGAGTCCATCACCGGCACCAGCGTGATCCGAGCTTACGGACGGAACGCCGCGTTCGTGCTCATGAGCGATAATAAAGTGGACGAAAACCAGAAGAGCTACTACCCTGGTATTGTCTCCAAC